GATTATTTATCCAAATTTTATCCAAATATTTGCCGATATCCAAATAAATTTTTGCAATTTGATATCCAAATTTTTCCGGGTCCCTGTCCCTAACCAAGGCGTCACATTTTAAAAAGATGACATGTAAACAATTCTAGCCAATGAAAAATCTTTCTAACCCGTGATTAATTTGATTGGTCAAATATGCTTGGATCGTCAATGAACATTACGTAATCTGTTTCATCAGAAGAGTATAATCAAAAACCTACGGTTCGTGTAACATACTCGCAGGTTACGAAAGCATTTAACGTTAAACGTTATTTAAATTTTTAAATTCATGATCTAATCTGTTTAAGCATGAGTCGCGGTAAACAACCTTAATGATTAACTTTCAAGCTCATATTGCTTAGCCTATAACTCTGAAACCGGCACGTTTCTTTAGGTTCAAGTGCGGGTTATGATCGCCATATCACTATTTTCTCCCCTGAAGGCCGTTTATACCAAGTTGGTATGTTAAGAGAAACAATTCTTTAGATGGATATTTGACTTCCCACTGAGATGCTGTATTCCATTTTTAATAAAATATTTTCCTTGATTTTTATGTACGGTTTCCTAAATGCTTATTACAACAGAGTACGCCTTTAAGGCAATATCAAATTCTGGTATAACGACCGTAGGCGTTCGCGGTAAAGATAGTGTGGTCATCGTAACACAGAAAAAGATTCCAGTTTGTTTTATTTTTTTTCCTATTTTTCAATGATAGTACATATGGTTTACTATTATTATAATTCTTATTTATAGGACAAGTTGCTAGATCCATCTACTGTTACGCATATTTTTCAATTAACACCATATGTTGGTTGTGTTATGACAGGCCTGATCGGTGTGTTAAGCTTCAATTACTTGCATTAAATCGATGTAATTAACTTACTATCTCATTATTACATTTAAAAGCTGATGCTCGCGCACAAGTAACTCGTGCGCGACAAGAAGCTACAGATTATCGTTACAAATTTGGTTACGAGATTCCTACAGACATGCTTGCAAAACGAGTAGCCAATATCAACCAAGTGTATACACAACACGCTGCCATGAGACCTTTGGGAGTTTGTGAGTGTTTCATTTGTTACTTAAATTTTTGAAAAAAGTTATAAATCTTACCTATAAATGCTAGCAATGATCCTCATTGGGTATGACGAAGAGCGAGGTCCTCAACTTTTTAAATGTGATCCTGCTGGTTATTACGTTGGATACAAAGCAACGGCTGCTGGTGCTAAACAACAGGAAGCTTTAAATCATCTGGAAAAGAAACTTAAAAAAGATCCGCAGTTAAATCTCGAAGAGACTGTAGAGGTCTGCTATTACTTTTATTTTTTATTTATTTATTTTTTATTTTAACCAATAAATAATTTTGATTACTATATTAATTATTTTTTGATGTTGGTTTATATAGTTAGCAATCAATACACTTTCATCTGTTTTGTCTGCTGATTTTAAAGCAACCGAAATCGAAGTTGCTATTGTTACTCAAGATGATCCCAAGTTCCGAACATTATCTGTTACTGAAATTGAAGCACATCTTCAACGTATTGTAGAAAAGGATTAAAGTGCTTATTATTTACATATTTAATAAAGAAATGTTTTTTTGATCATTGTGAAATATTTTATTATTATTAATATCTTTTGATTGTAATTAGTTTAAATAAAATAAATTGTTAGATTAATCTAATATTATTAGGAAGTTACTATTTTACCATAGCAATTGACTATTTTGACTATTGTTATCAATCTTCCCCAGTTGCGTTCCGTGACAATTGTAGCCAATTAATCGATAATATAATTATTATACAGCAGGGTGAAACTGGTAAGATCAAACATTATTTAGGGTCGCATATGATAAAATTTTTTATGAAAATCCGAAATTACTGCGGATAATAACAACTTTCGGTACAGTTTTCTTTCGAACTAGTATAATAATTACTAATTTACCTTTTTTAAAAGATAAAGAACTTCGTGTAAGTTAATGTAATAGAGAGATTTTTTTCGATTTATTCCATTTTACAAATAGTAAATTCTTTAACTAAATTCGACGAAAAAAAGCTATTAAAATTTGTAAAACCGAGGTTATTGTTGAAAAGAGCATAATAAAAGCTATCGATTAAAAAAAATATGGCATAAAAAAATTGAATTTTTCGCTCAAAAAGTGTACCTTTAGTTGGTATGATTACAATATCGATATTACAATATTCACTAAATTAAAAAAGTTAATTTTCCGAAATTCTGAAATTATTAAAAAGCCCATAAAAAATCCTGATACATATAACCCTAACTATGGTTTGATTTACCGATTTGATGAACACCCTAGTGCAAAAAATTGTTCACCCCCTGTATTTTTGACAAATCAAATTTCAGGATCAGGTGTAACATAAAAATCGAAACGAAACTACTTTTTTTAAAAAAAAACAAGAATATCTCTAATTTTTAATTAGGAAATCGCCTTCTGCGGCCTAATTAAAAATGTTCCTCGTGACGTTTTACTAACATAGCACGGGTTTATTGGTTTTCATTTTACACGTAACTTTTTTACTTACACTAGGGTGTCCAGGATTATGCGATGCGATAGGGCAAATTATGCCTGCGATTTGGGGTCAATTATGCGGTGGATGCG